CTCTGATCTGGCTTTGCTTCTGAAATGCCACCTCTAATGTTGGATAAAATCCGACCGAGAGGATTGACAGACTCATCTCCAAACACTCGGATATTATTAGGCAGCTCATATGCTGCTTTTTTATTATTATTTTTTTATTTTTTATTTTTTATTTTATTTCTGAGCAGTATTTTTTGCTAAAGTTGTCAGAAGACATTTTAAATAAATAAATAAATAAATAAGACAAACCCATTTTGGACATCCTGCAGAATGCTGGGCTCGTTAAAACAAAGTGCTGTGCCCAGGTTATGGCCAATACAGCCCGATCCTCTCCCCCATGCCTGCACCGTCGGCTGCTCCCTCCTGGAGGACAATCCCCCATAGGACTGAGGAGGACACTTAGTGCTGAGGTTACCAGCACTGACTTCAGGCCTTTGGGGAGCAGTGAGGCACTCCTGCACGCACAGACAGCAACGTCTGAGCTCTGCTGGGTTTGCAGCGCGCTGAGACATGGCGGAGGGCAGAGTCTACTAGGATTTGGATGCTGCAGTGCTCTGTGAATTACTTGGAATTATTGAGAGCACTCATCAGCTCACCTAATCCCAGATTAGAGGCAGCTACCGAAGCAACACTTGATACTTCTCAGTATTTTCTTTTTCATTTTGCTATTAAACTACAGAATTACACTGATCTTTGTAAGCTGAAACCAATAATGCAGAGAATTTTTTTCTTTTTTCTTTTTTCTTTTTTTCCCCCCCCTTCACATAAAACCCAGAAATAACTCCCACACCACCAGCACTGGAGCAGCACTGGATGCACACAGATGCTGGCAGCTCCGTGCTTTGGGTCAGCACAGCACCGTGTGCATCCCCACAGCAAAGCCTATGGGGACATGGATCTCCCTCACAGCCCAGCTCCTGCCATCACGGGCACAGAAACAGGATGTTCAGGTCAGCACGCAGGGCACACAGCACAATACAGAACCTATTCCAATGGTTGGGATCCAGATGGGATGCGGCAACCCAAAGTTTGGCTTTGCTCAGGTGTGAGCTGGCGTGGCATAAGGTTCACCACTGCTCTGCATTGCTGTAAATGATGAATCCAGCTGCTACGTTTCATGCAATGCACTCAGAGTGGCTGGCATCTCATTTTTCCCCGCACTGGGACGCATTCTGCACCGATCCCTTCTCCTTTCCCAGCTCTCCCCCAGGAGCTCCGTAACAATATCCGTTCAATCTGAAGAAAAAAAGGGTCAGCAAAGTATTTCACCAAGAGAAGCGGCTTCCACCCCAGCCCTACGCAACGTCTCAGAGCAAATCCAACCCTCGGCCATATCAAGGCCATGCTGAACAGAATTTCTCAGTGTTGTGAGGTCACTTGTACAGAAACTGAGCTGTTTTAGGAAGCAGTAAATCTGCTTTCCCACTATGAATTCCTCACCAGGTTGCCAAGACTGATCAGAAATCAGGAATGCCAAAGCTCGCGCTTTGCTGCTCCAGCAATGATTTCCCACCGTGTTCACTGTGCCACTTCATTTAGTCCAAAGCACTGAAAGAACTCAAATATGTCCATATAATGACAGCTCAAAAATCTTCGGGATCAGCAGTTCCCACTTTTACCCCAACATTAAAAAAAAAAAAAAGATATTAAAAAACAGAAGAACTGAAAAATAAAATTTCGAGTTTAGAGCAATTCTGTGTTACATCCATTAAAACCCTGAGCGTACAAACAGAAAACAAGGTCTTACTTTCCCCACTTCTTCCCCCCCCACACACAAAAAATACCCCAAATAATCATTTAAATGAAGTGACACACAGATACCTGCAAATTTGAGTTTCTTTCTGAGCCCCCCACAGAGCGCACACAGCTAATAATATACAATTAATAATTAACAACAAATCACATACAACAAATCACATACAACAGACCGCAGCAATAATACACAACCAATAATCGGCGCTGCCAGCTTTGCTCAAACAACCTGCAGTTTTGAAGCAAGCCCCCTTGAAAAGGACAGCGTGATTCTTTCCAAATCCAACACCTCAACTCACGTGGATGGTTTACGAAGGACGTTCTGAACCAGCACTGCTCACCATTAACAGATGATGCCCCGAATCGCCTGGGACAGCGGCAGCTCCCCCCACCCACCATGGACACCCTTCTATTTTTCAATGGATTTGAGTTATGTTTTCAGATACGGCACTTTTCCAGTTGGATCTTCCAACACCACGCACTGAAGAGCCCTTGGATTCTTTATCACATCGGCAGCCACAAATGAGGCAGCTGGATTTGAAACCTCACACTGAGCCGCGACTTAAAAATAGGGGGAACAAAGCAGAACGGGCACAGAGCCTCCTGAGAAATGTTTTAGGCACTCGAAGCCAAAAAATGATTTACATTAATAAAAAAAAAGATGATTTAAAAAGTGATTACTATGGAAGTCGGAGTTGGAGTTTCTCAGCCTCCAGAATTCAGGACAAGAAGCCCAGCGTGGCATGCATGGAGCCTGCGGCCATTACCTGCCCTGTTTATTCTGTGAAAAACCAATAAGTAATTAAATGTCATAAAAGAGAATGATGTTTTCACTGTCCAATTCATCAGTGAAAGAGATGTTAACCACCACTTGAAAATACTTCCCCTCAGAATACCTAATCACTTATTTATCAGCCCTGATGGCTGCGAACCTGGCCGTGTAGTTTGTAAGATTTGGTGTAAGTACAGCTTTTCTATTTCTGTGGCCCAGAAAATACCACAGTTACACCAAATTCAAGCTAAGTGCTGATCCCTTACAGGGGAAATCACATTTTTCTTTCCAAACTCTGGGTCTGCTGGGGGCTCACTTTGAGCTCCTCGCAATGGGAACCTTCCCAACGGGAGCAGCGAGCCTTCCATCAACCCTGAATCTCCTTCCAACTAAAATCTACACACACGTAAATATCTCAACTTCCATCACAGCCAAAACTGAAAGTATTTTCCATCTGCTCAGCGATTTTGTTCAGCTCTCTTCCCCTAACAGGAGATGTCATTAAACACGCGTGCTGAACATCTTACATCTTTCAGCTTCGAGGAAACTATAAAGCATATCAGAGGGCTCCAAATTCACCCAGGATGAAAGAGAAATTCACTCTTCAGCTCAAGAAAGTGCTGCAAAACTTTACTGAAATTATTTCAGGCCGCAGTGAAAATCTGTGCTCACTGCTTTCCTGCTCACCTCAATAAAGGAAGCACGGGCAGAAGTTCAGTGCCATCGTGCATTTCTTCAGGCTTTGGTCGCTTTGCAGTTTAGTTTTTCAAACAGATTTGTGGTGGGTATTTATCAGATGTAGTTGTTTCTGTGCTCTGCTCCATTTCTAAGACAATATCAGAAATCCCATTCGCTACCACTTGCTGTTCAGTAGCACCTACCCTCCTTGGGAGGCTCACCGTTTGGAAGCACGGACTTTCGCAGCCGCTCCTTGCACGGTTTTAATCCCACCACCAAATCTCTGCCCTGCAATTCCCAATCCCTGCAGCTCCATGAGGCCGAGCTGCAGACCAGCTGACATCACTGCTATGGGGCAGCCCAGAGCTGGGGCTGAAAACACGAACTTGAGGGCAAATTCATTAACAGTCCCAGGCACAAAGCGAAGCAAGGCTTTAACTGCAGAGCTCAGAACCCACAGCTGAATCATCTGAGAATTATTAATGACCATTTAATGAATAAATATTATTCTCTGGTATTTGCTATATCACAGAAACACATAATCATAAAGTTTATTCCCCCCCCCAGAGGGGTGCGTTAGAACAGCTGCTGGAAGCACCCACCCACTGCAAACCCCAATGATCTCTTTGGCTGAAGGGCACATTCACAGTGCAGCCTTTTTGGTCCTGACCTGGTCAGGCATGATTGTGGGTGAATACTCATGTTCCTTCTGGGTGCTAAGGGCTGCTTTCTTCTCTAAGGCTTTCCATACAGCAGAGGCAGAAGGAGGAGACAGGGATCTCCTCCCTGCAGATCTGTGCAGCCGCGCCATTGACCCCAGCAAAGGCAGAACTGGGCTTACCCCCCCATCTGAGCCCTCTGTGCCTCTTTTGGCCAAGCACAGGACTTTGCTGTCCATGCAGCAGCAAGGGATCAGCGCTCAAAACCTCCCTCGTTAACAACATCCTGATTAACAACCAGGTCTCCTCACAGGGCAGCATGGCGCGCTCGGTTCGGGGAGGCAATGCGTGCCGTTGCAACTCAATAGGAAGAAATAAATTTGGAACGAAGATGACACTACTCATGTAACTTCAGACCTCCCAATCAATTTGGGATCTTCAGTTAATTACATTTGCAAAATAAATATTGAGGTTGGAGAAAGACCAGGGGATTACTCTGCTGATCAAACTCTGTGTAACCCAACAGCAAGTTTTATATTGGCACATTAAGTGCTGGGACCTGGAGAGATCCCTCTTATTTAAATTCAACCAGCACTGAAGGAGGAAGGAAATAAAAGAGCCAAAGTAGGACTTGAATTTTTAAACACGCAAATGCAAAGTGCACTTTTTCAGCTCAAGGAAAAACAAAATTTTGGCCCTGATACGTTACCAAAAATTAAGCTTTTAAAGAATGTTCTTGAATAGTTACGGATTTTTTAATCACGTATTGCTAAGTCCCAGCTTCACCATCTGCTCCATTGGGTGCCACAAGGGTGGCACTACGGGAAGAATATAAGTGCAGAAACTACCTGCCTTGCCAGAAAATGGGCTCTTTTTGTTTAAAATTGGAACGCGTGACAGGGACGACATTTTTACTGCGCACGTGGATCTTTCAGAGCTCACGTCAGACCGATCCATTTGTGAAACACCTGCGGTCGAGACCCCATCCTGCTCACTGCCATGTACTAAAAATCAGCCGCCGCACAGCGAGGTCGGGACGCTCCCTCCGCATCCCCCCCTCACCGGGAGCCGCTCTCCCGATGGGATCGGCCCCGGGGGGCACTGTTTGGTCCCAGCGATGCTCAGCGATCCCCGTCCCAACCCTCCCCAGCCCTCCTTACCCGCGCAGGAGTGCAGCGGCTTGGGCCGGACCAGGAGGGACGGACAGACGGAATAGAGAGAAAGTTTCTCGAAGTAATCGCACGTCTCCTTGGAGAGGATTTCGTCGATCATGAAAGTCTTGTAGCGCCTCCTGCCTGCCTTGGCGAGCCGGGGCTGCGGCGGGCAGTGCATGGCCGGCCCCGGGGCCGCGGGGCTGCGCGGGGCTGCCAGGGCGGCGGGCGGCCGCTCATGGATGGGGCGCGGAGCCGCCCGAGCTCCTCCTGCGGGCGCTGCCCCCGCGCTCGGTCCGCGCTCCGCAGCGCTGAGCTATGCTGGGCTATGCTGGGCTATGCTGGGCTCGGCTCGGTTCGGCGGCGCTCCCTCGGCTCGCAGCGCCGCTACCCCGCTATATAACCGTGCCGATAAGCATCTCCCCGCGGCCTTTTTAGGACGCTCCGGCTGTCAATCAGGGCGCCCGCTGCTCCCCGCCGAGCACCATTGTTACCCTGCGCCCGGCTGGGAGGATCCCTGCGCTCCTCTCTCCTCCCTGCTCTCTATTTTAAGATACCGGGGTGTGTGCTTTTCTTTCTTTTTCCTTTTTTTTTTTTTTTTTTTTGGTGCAAAAACTGGAAGGCTTCCAGATTAGGGCTGGCTTTTCCTTCCCCCCCCTCCGCTTCTCTCCCCCCCCCACCTCCCCTTTTCCAAGCTTGCAATTAGCTCGAAGAAATTAAAAACTCAAACAGCGTGGGGAAGCTCAACCCTGGGGCCCCGGCCCTCAGCCCCGCGGTGCCGCTTTTCCCGAGTCTTGGGCGCCCAACTCAGCCCTCCCAGCTCAGCTCAGCTCCCCCCGGGCCGTACGGTGCAGGACGGAGCGGTGAGCTCCAACCCGCTGCTATGGGTTCTTCTATAGGCGGCCGTTCGGTGCGCTCCGTCCCGGCGCAGTTTCGCAGCCCCGGAGCTGATTTACGGGCAGATCTCCGCGGGATGAGCGCTGCCGCTGTCAGAAACCCCGTTTGTTTCTATGGAAGGAGAAAATCGCGTCCCACTCACGGGTAATTCCGGCAACTTTTCGTTGCTCTGTATTAATAAAAAAACACCCCAACCCTCACACATCTATCAGCCACCTCTCGTATCCTCTTTGCAAGCAGTGTTTCTTCAGCAAAATCACCTCTTGGCTTTCGGCTTTACAGATCTATCTGCAGCTTTGGAGAGCCCTAAAAGCAGCGCTGGGCACACACGATGAACCTCCACACTCCTCACTTCTCTTTTGGACTTTTGTCTTAAAAGCTCATTGCGTGGTTCTAAAAAGCTCAGCATAACGAGTTATCACACAGATAAAACAAAGCGTTTTGCTCGTTAAGCCATTGGAAAGGCTAAGATAAATCCTTTGGATATATATTTTTTTCTATTGATTTTGAGAAACGGAGGCACTCTCACCAAGAGGCATTTCAGCAGAACAAAAACAACCAGCACGGAGCTTGGAGTCATTTCCCCCGATGATAAACCCATCCCCAATTACTGCAACTCTTGCTTTAATTCCTTAGCAAACTACAAATATTTAAGGAGATTTGCGGAGTTCGTTGCGAGCGCGGCTTTACACACACACTCTTCACACACCAAACAGGCTTTGAGAACACTTTTTCTCCTTTTTACACAGTTCTTTTTGCAAGGAGACAAAGTAATTCCCGATGGCATTGACCTCAGCAATCACCACTTGTTGTATTGCGCAGAGCGTTTTCAAAGCGACGCTCGGCGCAAGCAGCCGAATTCAATCCCCCACCGTCACAAAGCAGCAGCGAATGGCATTTTTGCTCCTGTTTCCCCCATGTCTGCCCTTTTTCCTCACTCCGCATTCATTTTGCAATTACAAAACCTGACGAGACCCAACAGATGAAAGTTTCCTGATGCTGAAGTGCAATACAAGCGCTGGAAGTGAAGGGCTCCTCAACGAGCCCAATCAGCTCCAGTGCAGAAACCAAACGGGGAAGAAGCCTCCGTCTCTCCCACATCCCTTCCCACAGCCACCACACAGGAGCTCTGCCTGCCCTTTCAAGTCCATTTTGCTCACATCTGAAGGCCTGAACGTGCAGAGATGTGGGGTTGGCACCTCTGCCGAATGTTGATGCCCCAAGAGAAGGTCGGGCAGGTGGGATTAGCACACCCTGACACATCCCCGTGTCTTTCCTTCTTCTTACTTATTGACTTGAGATTTCTTTTTCTTTTTATTCTTCTTCTTTCTTTCTTTCTTTCTTTCTTTTTTTTTTTTTTTTAAGTGGCCACAGCAATACCGTGGATTATATCATATGAAACACACACTGGCTGTCAATCAAAAAGGGGGTGCTTTGGTCAGGAATAATCAGGGGTTTTGTTTCCAACATTAATGAAGTGGCTGGAATAGCAAACATCTGCTGAGGGGACTCAAACCCCGAGCAGCTGTTGGAGCCCCCAGACCTCTTCCCACATAGGACAGCTCTGCTGCTGAGCACTTCTCCCTGAGGTCTCTGTAGGGCTGAGAAATGGGGCCATGCAGGAGGGTGGGAAGGGAAAGGCATGTCAGGAGGGTTCGGAGGGCAGGCGCTGTGACGTGGGTTGTGCACATGAGCCCAGCAAATGGCCGCGTGAGAGCCAGGCCCAGAATTCCTGTGTGTGTCCTTTCCAAGAGGGAAAGGGGTTAATCCCAGGGAAACGACCCCGCAGGTCACTGAGTGAAGCTGCTTTGTGTGTGTGTGCAAAGCCAGAACCAGAACAGAGCAAGAAGATGGCACTGCTCTGAGCTGATCGGCTGGCAATAGGTCATCCATGCAGAGAGCTCTGTCCTGTACCATAACACTGCAACAGCACCCAGCTGATCAGAAAGCACAGCAGTAGATCTGCTGAAGCAAGGTTTCTGCTGACATTTGCTTTAACCCCAGCCCTGGTGCTGCCAGGAACCCTGTCAGCACTGGAACCCACTGGTGCTGAGGCATCTTACGGTGGTCTCAGATCAGTTTTTTTCTTCTGAATTCACCCTATCTAATGGGCAAAGGTTGTTCTCTCAAGTCCCCCACATTACCACATTTAATTGCTTTTTCCAGTGAAATCCAGTGGGATCTCAGCATTCATCCAACACAAGAGGCTTTCTGATATCTGCCCAATGCAAGAGGAAATGACATTGCCCAGAAAGCTCTAAAACCAGGAGGGTGTAAAATCCTCCTACACGCACACAGAATTGGGTAAACCAAGGAGCTCCTTAGTGCTCTGCTCCTCTGAGAGAAACACAGCTCAAGGACAGACAGACACCCAGGCAGGGCATCCCTCCCCCAGCCCTGGAAGGCCTCTGTAATGTCAGGAACATACAGGATAGAAGAGAAACTGCAGTGTTTGTTGGCTCTGAACTCTGCCTTGGCCCCTCTGCAGATGGCAAGGTGAAACTGCTGGGCATCAAAGTGTGCGATGTCATAGGAATTGCAAAGCAGAGAGCTAATTGCATATGCTCACACACAGCATTGGCTTCAGGGAGGCTGTTGCTTCCAGCTTATCTCTGCAAGCAAATTTCACTCCTGGCCTAAGAGACTGCAGAGCAGGATTGCTGAAGGTCCAGCTGTTTCATTGCTTTTTACTTTTCCCAGCTCAAGCAGGTCTTGAATCCTCGCAGTGATTTCTCTGTCACCTTTAGATCTGCCTGCAGCCTCTGTGAGTGTCAGCAAACCTCAGTCAGAGCCAGGCTGATTCTCCTCCTATTCCCCCTGCAATGCTGCAACATTAGCACAGCCCAAAGCAGCCCCTACGTGACAGACCTGAGCTCACGGCAGCACTTCGAAGTAGTCCTTAAGCAGTCAGAATAAGCTGGGGCTTTGGAAATTTCCTTCAATAAGTTTACACAGATAAGCGAATCATCAGCAGGGACTCCTCCATTTCACAGCTTGCTCTTCTGCCAGCCCTAAACCGAACCTCCTTTGCTTAGAATCACCTTTTATCTCTCACCACATGGATTGTGCTGGTTCTTAGAGGGGAGATACAGGCATGGTTTCAGACCTATATGCAGAGAAACAGAGGTGGAGGGTTCCTCTGAGCACTCAGAACAGAGCCAGACCTCACCACACTTCTCTCCAGGTTAGCAATAGTCTAAATCCTGGTGTTTTCCTCATTTTTCCCCCACAATGGCACTGAAGGCTGAGAAGGCATTTTGCTGATTTCCCAGCTGGGACAGGCACTACCTCCTCCTTTCCTAAGCCCCATTGCTACAAAATCAAACCCAGTTCTGCCACTGGTGCTGGTGGAGCTGTTCCCACGTGCTCCCAGGGGCGTTGCCTTACCCTCCTCAGGGAACCAAGGAACATACCAAGCTGGATTGAAGAATCCATTGTGAATCTGAAGAAGAACTGGCAGAAACGAAGGCATTTAGAGAGACACTTATGGTGTGGCTGTGATTTCTGGGTGTTGTATCGATACCACGTACACCTGAGTTGATGCCAAGGAACATAAGGCATCTTTCAGCGAGCAGGGATTTGTTTTTTCATGCTATAGCTGAGAGGCTACAATCTGGACGTGTAAACTGGGGCTAAGGAGTTTGGAAGCAGCAACCAGGAATGCAAAGGAGCATCCTGTGCCATCCTGAGCAGCAGAACACCGACGGGGCTCAGTGTGAGGCAGAGGGAGCAGATCACAGCAGTCATGGATAGGGCCTCTGTGGGGATAGAGGACAGCAGTTCCTGCAGCTCTCCTCAGGGCAATGTAGCATCGGGTTTGGGTGAGGCAGATGTGCTCAGTGCCTCCCAATATTCACCACAAATATCTGTGGGATGATGGTTTAGACAGTGCCCTCAGTGATGGGCTTTGGGTTCTGGTTCGCCACAAAGAGGTCAGGCAGACCAGAAGTCTGTCTTTGGAGGTCCTTTCCAAAGGAAATACCCTGTTCTCGATAGCGGTTTCCTCATGCATCCTTTTGTCTGGGCAACTCCACACTGCACATCCATCTCACATCCATCCATTGCCCCACCTGCACTGCTGCCCTCTCCAGGATCCCAGTGAACACCAAGACACGTCTTAAAATGGCCAAGGAAACAAAAATCTTAGTAAAACCACAATCACTTTCCTGGAAGGATTACAGCCAACAGTAAGGGGCAGCATCTGATCTCATGAGAGCATCAGTGCTTGGGATTGGAACATTTTTTAAAGTCTCCCCCAGTTTTTGGCATGGTAAACTTCCCAGATTGAACACAGCTTCGCTCTGATCTGTGCTCCAACCTAATTTGGGTGAGGATGCACGTCTGAATGCTCACTGCTTCATCCAGCTTTGCCTAAGGCCCATTATTTTTGCACAAGCCTTGCTAAATCTCTGCCAAATTGGATGGTAGTGTTCAAAAAATCAAAACATTTCCAAGTCCTTCTATAAAAGGGAGCAGGATGTTTTGGCATTCTGTGACTGATGCTTTCTTCATTATTCACAAGGATTATATCTGTTTGTTTTCTTTTTTTTCTTTCTCCTACAAGACAATTCACCTGAAAGCAGAGAAGAAAAAGGATCCCAAACCAATAGACCAGAAGTATGACTCCAGTCTCCATAGAGACACCAGAAA